GGGTATTCATGGGCAGAATAAATACTTGCCTTTCTACCTCATAGTGAGACAAACTATTTTCTATTATCTCTCGTTTCTTTCCCTCTCCCCCTACCTTCATCCTTTTTTCCCTTTCTTCCCTCCTTCCTTCACTCTCTCTTTCTCTTATTATCCTGGAAAGAGTACATTTTACTACACAAGCATTTGACAGAATAAGAATTATTTTTCTGCACAGTTAGAATTGAATATTTGTATGCTGATTTTGAACCAATGTGCAAATCAAACTTTGTTTTTACTCAGTAAATGTTTCTTGAGCTCTAGACATTTCAGGCTTTGTGTTGAGTAGCTAAAATACAACAGTGGATAAGACAACATGTTCCATGGGTAGGTGGTCAGAGTGTGAGGCAGACACAGAGGAACCTATGGTGGTAAAGGGTAGTGGTCACAGTATAATTACATAGCTCATCTGGAAGAGACATTAAGAAAATATGTGGAAGTACCACTAATGGTTAGCCTAGCATGGGGTCTCGCAGCAGTAGTATTATTGATATTTGGGGCAGAATTCTTTGTTGTACATGGTTGGATGTTTAGCAGCATCCCTGGCCTCTCTTCCCTAGAAACTCCCTTTACTTACCCATCGTAAAACAACTAAATGTATTTTCAGGTACTGCTAAATATCTCCTGGCGAGGTAGTGAATGCAAATTGTCCTCATTTGAGAATCACTGACTTGGAGAGACGTGGGATAGATCAAGGTCCTAACACAGCATGTACAGCGATACAGGACATGAAATAACATGGGACAATACCAATATGTCTATGGCTGATAGTAAAAGTAGCTAATATTTATTATGCACCCTTACATACAAGACATGAGGCTTAGGTCACTGCTGGTGGCATCCTTTTCATCTTTGCAATAACCTTCAACATTTCTACTATTAAAACTCTCTTAAGGGTAATAAGGTGCAAAAAGACAAAGAAATATGTCTACTATCACCTAGTAAGTGAGACCAATATCTGATCCCTGGTCAAGTGGGATCAGATTACAAAGTCACTTTGAACTGTATGGGGAAAGGCTTTCCCCATCTGGAGTGAAGAGTGTACTCAGGGATTCTAAGAGATATGGGGATGAAAGACAAAGGCTCAATTCACTACTGACTGAAATGTGAAAACAATGGGGAGTTTTAGAGATAGCTTTTATGAGAGAGGGGGTGAGGCTGAGAGGGAGGGAAGAAAAGGAGGGAGAGAGGAAAGGTTTCATGGAGAGCATGAAGGCAATGTTAGACAGTGAAGGTAACTGTAAGACACAGGTTGGGGGGTGGTAAGCAGAACTATTAGGAAACCACTGCAATAGCACAGGTGAGAAATGTCAAGGCCTCAGTGGGACAGCAAAGTTAGCAGTAAGCATAACTATTCATATTGATGATCTGGTGACTAACTGTCCTGGTAACTGATTGGACACAAGAGTTAATTGTCTTTAAGTGCTTCATGAATTGTGGATCCTAAATGGGCCTCCACGGAAACGGCCTCTAATCCCCTTTCTTCCCTTCCCTCCCACCCTCTTCCCATCCTCAGGGTTCCTGCCTGATTGTACTGTGGTGACTAACAGCGATGCCCCCTGCATTTCTTTTATTTCTTCATCAAACATTCACAGGGTGGCTAGCAGCTCATAACATATGACACCACTTTTCAAGAATTTATTATAGGCCAGGCATGATGCTCAATGCTTCACATAGATCACCGCATTAGCTCTTCATGACAACTCTGTAAAAGGGCTTTGTTGTCCCACTTCCCAATACAGTGAGGCTCCCACTTCTCAGACACCAACACTCACACTACTCAGCTGACCCAGGATTTGAATCTAGATTTGTTTGACCTCAAAACCCTCCCACTAACAAAGCTGCCATTTGTTATCAATTTCTGAAACCAGAAAGAAACAGAAAGTACCAGGAATGTTCAGGTCCAAAAGGCCAAATAGAAGAAGTCACTAGAAAAACAGATTTGTGGCATGAACAAATTGGTGTTGCACATGTGCACACCCGGGTTCCTGCTGAAACATGGGGAACACGTGGTGAGAGGCAGATGAAACATGCCTGTAACCCTAGCACTGGGAGAGGCAGACATACGGGGATCACAAGTTTGAGTCCTGGTTGGGCACCTTAGCAAGACCTTGTGTCAAAATAAAAAATGACAAAGAACTGAGGTTGGAGCTCAGTGGTGGAAACACTGGGTCCCACCTCAAGTGCGAAAAAAGAAAAACGTAGTTATGCCGACAAGATTGTTTTTTAGAAGAAACCGTAAAGAATGAGGTGTTGCTAGCACAAGCACTGTGTGTGGTACAGGACAGACGACACAAACGAGGGCCAGAAGAGGCATGGTGCACAGTGTGGGCTAGGGATGGGGAGATGCTTGGGTTACTGCCTTGGATTTTTTGGGATAGATAATGAAAGAGGTGCCTATTCTTACAAGGCTGAGTGGCTACAGAGGGCAGTGTGGAATTATATTCACTGTTGGAAAGCCAAAAAAGAATCTCTGCTTAGATTCTGGGTAGCAAAGTGTCTAATTGGAGCTCAGATTGCTGTGCTGCACTTTTTCAGGCTTCCTCTCACCTACAGGGCCATCCATGCTTTCTCTTATCCCTGGAACTGTTTTCCCTCTGTCTTTGACGTTCTTCAGTTCTCCCTAATATGTTTAGCTAACTCGTTTCCAGTAAAGAATTAAGCATGAGCCAAGCTGCGCCTAGGACACGCCCACTTCAGCAGCTCGTCCCCTTCCCTTCTCGTTCTCACCGGCCCTGGCCTCTGCTTCCTTCTGCAGCTCTGGTTTGCCTCCCTGCCCAGTTCCTCTCCCTTTCCTATGGGAACCGGTTCTCCTTTTTCTTTGCTTCTACCTCCCACTCTCTAAGGGTGCTTTTTACTTTCTGGCCTTTGCTGGGAGAACAGAAGCCAATAACTGCATTTTTTCAAGTCGTGCCCTCTGAAAATCTGGGAATAATACCGTAGAATAATCAGAATGGGTAGAAAGTTAGAATTCATCCTAAACAAACCTTCAAAATAGGGGTGCATGGGCCAGGAACCCTCTTGTCTGCTCACACAGTAGGCAGGGTGGTGGTTCTGAAACTTTAGCAACCCCAGAAGGCTCACTTATTAAAATACTGACTGCTGGACCTGACACCCAGAGTTTCTGATCCAGCAGGTCTAGGAGTGACCTGGGAATGTGCATTTCTGAAAAGTTCCCAGGAAATGCTGAAGGTGCTGGTCCCTGTGCTACACGTGGAGAACCACTGGAGTAGGGAAACTAAAAGCTGTCAGGAGGCCAAGGTTCAGCTGTGCAAGATCTCCGTGGAGAAACAGTGGAGGGAAGGAGGCTTTGTTCCTGATCACATAGACAAAGGGACGGCAGCAGCCTGGGATACTCTGAATGTGAGATCCAGAGGACATGCGGGCTGCAGGGAGGAGGGGAGAACAGGCAGGGAGAGCTCTGTATTGCAACCTTCTGGGAAACACGGAAGCCAGCTCCAAGCCCTGTCATCCACCCTCCAGCTTGCAAAGCAGCAGAAGGGAATTCTCAGGATCCCTTTGATGTCTTCCCAGATCCCCAAGTCTTCTGTCTGTTTATCTCCCTCTTTCCCTGGCCTCCTCTCCCACTTCTCTCTCCCCCCTGCCCAGTGAATGATTCACTGCCCCTCCTCCTGCTTCCCCACCCTACTGCCATCTGTTTTTCTAATGAAGGCAGAAGATGAGCTGGTTTGTTGGCCCACACAATAACAAAGCACACTCCATGCTAGTATTTTTCCTGATGCACTCACAGAAAGCTATTTTATGGGTATCATTTCCCCACCCAGTTCTCTTTTTTCTCTCAAAATCCATACTTTTCCCTTCTCTGGCCTCCTGCGGATCCCAGTTTCCCAGAATCAAATCAAGAGACACAGAGATGCAGAAGAATAAAGGGATTAATATGCATGTGGACTGGATGTTTTTGGGGGGAGGACTTGGAAATGGATGGTAGTTAAACAGCCCTCTCTAGCACACCAGGTGGAGCCAGAATTACCAAGTGGCTTATTTATTTGCAGAGGGAAGTTTGGGTTTGAAAACCTGTTATGACTGAGAGTAGAATACTTGTATCTATTGCTGGTTATTCCTTAGGTAGGAAGTTTAATTGGGGTGTTGGGGAATCTTCGTCTCCCTATCACGATTCCTATGTGTCCCTCCTTCTGCAAGGCTCTGCCTCCTTCTTGACTCTTCTTGGTGAGGTTGGCTCCAGTTAACCTAAGTAAGGAATTTCTAGCACATTGAGTTCCACACTGGTAAAGGAATACATTGTGCAAAGAAGCAGACAGGATTTCTTGAAGTAGTAAAGGTCTAGTTTGGGTTAGTCAACAGTGGACTACAACATAGGTGACTGCATAACCCAGGAAGTGACAGTAAATGAAAGAAACTCCTTAGGCAAGTGGTCACTGGAGAGGACGAGGACTGTGATAAACGTAGTGTGTTACCCTCTGAGATACTGCTCAGATCCAAATAATTACAGCCACCACTTCTAGATATTCTTATTTTGTAAGAGAAAAATCTTGGCACAAAAATTTGTTTGCTATTTATTTGGAATAAGCATATATAATGTTACATATGCATATATGAATTTATGTAGCAACTCAACACTGAAACTTGGTAACCAAAACTGATTTTTGATGGTATGATGACCCAACAAATCTTACATGGGCCATTGTTCTACAGAACACTAACCTCTAACAAAGCCAGTTACAGAAGCCCAAAATCATAAATAATTCTGACTTGCATTTTAACTTATTTTTATTCATTCATTTAAAGTGGGATGCTTATGGTTCTGCTAAGACAAAACAAAAGTAAGAAATCCTAATTTCCACAAATCTGAGGTTGTAGAGACCACTACATTTAAGAAACCAAACAAAGAAGTAGGAGGTTTATAGACTCTTGAATAGAGAGTCAGTGAATCAGGCAAACTACAACTCTCTCAGTTGGGTTTGAGAAGAAAGAGGCCAACTTACCTCACAGGACTGGATGCAGTGGATCAGGAGGGGGTCTGGGTGCCATCGGCGTCGGCCCGTGCACACGATGCTCTAAAGAGGAAGACAAAAAACATCCCCACGGGTTAAAAACTAAAGTATCTGTTGTCTGAGAGATGGAGCAAGTCCCGAGCTTACTCCAGCAGCTCCACTTCGTTCCATCAGGAGAAAGACCCTGACAGCATAACCTCGAGAGGACCAGGCTGCCTGGTCTTTCCTGTGGGAAACACTAACTCTGCAGAGAGGTACTGAAGCAAAAATTCTCAGTGGGAAAAAATATTTGCAGCCTTGTCATTGAAAGAAATCAAAATTTCCATAGTTCTAAGAGTACAGTTTAAAAAACCATCCTCAATATTGTAATGAATTTAATTTGTTCTTAGGCACAAAATTAACTCATTTATTTTGAAATTTTAAATGATATAAGAGATTATGAGACGGTTATGTTAAAAAATACCATTGGGTTTTAAAGGCTGACAAATACTGCTGTACACAAAGAATCTTCAACTAAAAGTGGTTGCAGTGGTTTGGATATGATTTCAATGAGCCCCTCACAAAATCACATGCTGAACATAACAAAACACAGATACAGAAAAGAGGGTGATTTCCAGAGCTGTAGCTCAGTGGAGTAAATGTCAGCCTGGCAAATGTGAGGTAATGAATTCGATTTTCAGTGCAAAAAAAAAAAAAAGAAGGAAAGAAAGAAAGAAAGAAAGAAAGAAAGAAAGAAAGAAAGAAAGAAAAGAAAGAGAGATTTGGAGATATCACATTGAACTTAAAGTCAGAAAAGTCTGTTATGTTTCTTTCTCCATTTCCTCTCATTTATGCAATTTTGGACAGATAATCCAATAATATCTAATATGTATATAAAATAAAAATTGTCCTTTTTTGGCTTTTGGTTTATGATGAAAGTCAAACAAAATTACATACATGACTGTGAAGACAACAAAGTATTATCCAAGTGCAAAGTATCATTTTTTATTAAAAGAATCAAGTCCCTGGAAACAGAATAGAGTGAGTGATGCAATTTAATCCACTGCTCTGTAGTTTTACCAGATTCAAAGGTATGTGAATTATGATATGTAGCAGAGATTTTTCATGTCATAGACAAACATCATTTACCAAAATAATGAATTACTCTACAAACAAATGTGTTTGTACTTCAAATATGGTTTTTATTGGTTTTTCAAATTAATTTTTGCACCAGAAATTGAACAAAGCACTATTTTTAGTAGTAGAATTTCTCAAGGCATTGCAGTGGAATTACCTGCAATACTTTTTAAAGATGTATTTACTAAGGATTGCATACACTGTATGAAGGATGGAACCTATACTGTCCTATTTTCATATGCCCAATTGATTCTTAACGACTCCAAATTTAAGATTAAGCACACTGTAGAACAATTCCCTGAAAAGAATACATTGCATAAGATCGTCTGTGGTTGGTGCATGGTGTCATTTTAGAGGACCTGAGGTATATAAGGGCAATAATTTCATCATCATATCCATAGATTCTGCTGACATTTTTGGTTGTTCTTGTATAACAGAGTTTTAATTTCCTATTTGCAGATTAAACCTTGCAAACTATGAACAACACTCCGTGCTCTTACTGTGGAGTTTCTGGGACAGCAAAAGTAATAGCCTGTCCACATCCACCATAATAATTTATCATAAATACTGGTTTAGCATTTGATTTTATTTTGGCATAAAAGACACAGATTTGGGGTTCAGGAATTAATAAAATGCTATTTTTTTAACTTTAAAAATTTTGATTGCTGGGATCCTCTTCCCCCAGCAACAAATTGCTATCATAATGTAAAATAAGGTTTGTTTTGTTTACCTACATTCTTGGAAGTGTCAGTATACTTCACTTTGATTCCACATAGACACATACCTCAAGGGCCCCTTTAAAGTACTCATTCCTCTATCCTGCTGCAAACTGTGACCAGCCACACAGTTTGGTAGTTCCCCCAAATTATAAAGAGCTGGGCAATAATATTGAGCAAAACACAGAGACAAGGGAAAGAAGCAACTGTCTCTAGTAAAAATGGCCACTGAGCAAGAAAGATTGCTATACTCCAAGCCAATTAAATCTTGTCCTCAAGTTTCTCACCTGATTCTCACGTTAAGCCAAGGAGGTGGTTGTCATCCCCATTTACACAGAAATGAATAAAGGCCAAGAAGAGTAAATTGAGGCTATGCAGTCAGTAAATAATAGCTCATGGGTACAAATTTAGAGTCTGTAAGACTATACTTTTCATTCCAAGATCAACGGTGTTTCTTCAGCATTATCATCCTCAAAATCATACATGGACAATCTGTGTCCAAAACCATGAATTGATGATTAGATGGCATAGTCATGGCAAATGCCATAATATAAATGATAATGTTTAATGTACTGGTTTAAGGAGAAACAACTATTCCACATTTTCTTTCTAAGGTGGCCAACTTGACCTTGACAAAGATGTAATTATACCTAGGAGTAAAAAGCTTCACAATTTCTCCCATCCTTAGGAGAAAATACACATTTACTTCTGAAATAGAAATGGTACTATGATTTTTGTGCTCCTCCATCAAATGTTCATGATTCTTAAGAGGGGCTTCACTGGGGCTTTCCCCATACAGTTGTCACACTGCTCACAGACTAGTGGTTCACTGTATCTGCACAGAGTTTTCACTGGGCTCCACATCCTCAGAGGGATCCTGCCTTCTTGACTCTGTTCTCTCTCTCTCTCTCTCTCTCTCTCTCTCTCTCTCTCTCTCTCCTTATTTTTCTTCTCTGGGTCATAGTTTCAAGCGCACAGGAAAAGCTTTCTGTCAGTTGACCCTTTCTTGATTTCATCAGGCTCCTGGGCCAGAGTTAGTTACTTCTCCTCAAGTGTTCCCACAGTGTCCCTTCTTTAACTAAATCATTCACCATGTTGCATTGGCATAAATATCTTTATTCAAGAGTAAACTGTAAGTCTGTTCAACAGAAGGATTATTGTTTTTTATCTCTATTTTCCAGTACTTAATACCTACATACAGTCCCATGGCACATACTAAGCCTGAATGAATACTTCCTCAAGAATGAATAGTTGAATCAATAGGACCATGCTATGAGGTATGGTCAAAACATAAGGTGAATGTTTAAATAAAAATTAAGTGTTCCTATAGTAAAAGTTACATTTCTGCTAATTTCCTTCACAATACCCTCCCTAACTTCGAACACACTTTGAGCATTTTGTCACTTTCTGAAGCAGTTCCAGAAATCCTTTTTCATAAGTGTCTTTCTGAGGTGTGATAAAAAATACAGTAAATGCTGCTGCTGAGTGCTATCCAATGGAAACACCAACTTGCAAAATTATTATGATGTATCCTCTCCCACCTTATTTACCAGATCTGGTACTATGTGAATTTCAGCTCATCTCCAAAGTTGAAATGATCAGCAGAGCTAATTTTTTTAATTGATTCAGAAAATAGAGGAAACAACAGCAGTGTAACTAAATTCACCAATGAAGACTCCCCGACCTGTTTCAAAAAGTGGCAAGAAAAATGGAATACTGTGCTCTCTTGAAAGTAAGGCCTAACCAGATTAACATAACCAGAACCATCCCTAGCTGACTGTTGCCATGGTAATGCCCAGTGTCACACAAAAGATTATATTTCATTATTCTCTTGCTTAATGTCTACTTTGTAATGTCATGTAAGGAATGGGCAGGCTAAGAGGGGTTGGCCTTTGGGAATGGCTTTCAGGAAGAATTTATAAAGGTTTGGAGATAACACCTGAAAGTGTAGAGCTGGAATATCTTAGATTGTCCTGTCTGGGAAATTCTGATCAGGGTTTAGAACAGAAAGCTGATAGAAATCTTGCCAATAAAGACTAGCTTGGGAGGTTTTTGTAGGATCTTGCCAATACAGACCAGCTTGGGAGGTTTTTGTAGGAAGAAGAGCTGCATTGGCTATTGGAGTTCAGACAATGTGTATTATGTTTGTTTGCATTTTGCTTATGTCCAGAGACTTTCCCTGAGACTTTCACACTGAGATTAAGAGCAGTGGACTAATTAATCTGGCAGGAGAAATTTCAAGGCAGTCTAATGTTGAGGCAGTAGCATGACTATCATTGTTGGCTTTTAGTTAAACCTTTGTTGAGAGTCAAGAACAAGGAGACAAGCAGGATCATTTAAAATGTTATCATTTTGGTCAGAAAAGAAGCTCCAGTAAAACTGGAGACTACAAAGACAGAGCTGAGGACGTCTTGCCTGCTGAGAAGGAACAAGAGATTATATAAAAGATGGTCTGAGCGCGTCACAAGAACCAGCAAGTCTCTCCCCTTTGTAGCTGCAAAACTACAAAAGTGAAAGATTTTTGCTTTGAGGAAAAAGCCACAAAGCACCATATTCCTGAAGCAGGACAGAAAATTTGTTCCTCAGAATTGGATTCAGAGTGCCCAGTGATCCAGGCACTCAACCCCTACAGCCAAGGGAGAGGAAAGTATTTTTACTGTTCCAGTTGAAAGCAGACCTTGGCATTATTCATGTGATGCTGGTTTTAAGTACATGCAGAATGCAAGAGTTATAAGGGTTAAAAAGCTTCCATCTCAATGTAAGAAGGCCTCGGAGGCCAGGCAGTGTGCCCTTGAGAGTGCAGTGAATGAAGCTACGAGCATGAAGACAAAAATGCAGTGGAGATCCCAGAAATTTGGAAAAGCCAAGAATGTGAATAGTCTAAGGAAAGTTGTGAGTAGAGAGCAAAGTGGACCTAAGAGAGAAGCTGTGGGAGGTATAACCACCAAAAGTGCCATAGAAGTGGACTCACTCAGCCCTTTGGAGCTCACAGTTTGCTCAGGTTGTTCCAATATGCTGAACATGAAACTACAGGATGTAGTTTGCTGTGCTGGATTTTAGTGTTTGCTGTGCTGGATTTTGAACTTGCATTGCTCCCAATCCTTTGTATCCCTGTTTATAATTCGTGGAATGAAAACGCACCATTTTCATTGCACCATTGAATTTAACTTTCTTTTTGTTTGTACAGGGGCTTGCAGCTAAGAGTTTGCCTTACATCTCAGAGGAGACTTGGGACTTGGGCTTTTCAGCAATGCTGAAACTGTTAGGACTGTGGAAACTTTGAGAGACTAAATGCCTTTTGCTTTAAGGGGTATGCAAGAGTTTTTGGGGGGCCAGGAACAAAATAATATGTTTGTAATGTAACATTGTAAGACTTAATATTGGTTCTTAAAGATTGTTAAATCTGTATTATAATGTGCAAGTTATGAAATAATAATATGTCTTTGTATTTGGAAACTGGTTTAAAGAAATGTGTCTGATTGCCAAGTTGACAGGGGTGGGGGTGGATTGTATTAGTTGATACATTGTATCAACTTGAGAAGTCCAGAAGTTAGTAACTAGGTAACTCAGCAGTTCTACATCCTGGGAGATAGAGGACAGTCCTTTATCATGCTAGGATGGAGTTCATTTTGTCAACTCTAATTTAGAAGTTTTAACTAAGTGACTCAGTAAGGGACCGGGTGCTCACTTTTTAAACATCTTGAGATTGTGCAAAAGGAGGGCAGGGAGTTGGTGTGAATGCTACACCCACGCAAGAGTGGGTAGATTGTATACAATAGAAGAGAGAAAAAGAGGCTCATTCTTCCCCCTTTTCCTCTTGTTGCATTTGCTGTTCTCTGCCACTTTGAACTATTACTCCTATGCCATGTCTCTGCCTTAAAGCCAGGTGATTACAGACTGAAACCTACACAAACTACGATCTAAATAAACCTTTCCTTCCTTAATATTGGGCATCAAGTATTTTGTCTCATCAGTGCAAGAAAAGTAGCTAAGATTCTATGCTTCCTTGAAAATAAGGACTAGTAGCTAGACCGAACCAGAACTATCTCTAGCTGATTGTTGCCATGGTGACACAGTGTTAGGCAAAAGATTATACCTCATTATTCTCTTGCTCAGTGACTACACTGTAATGGCAAGTAAGGCAAGGATATGCTAAGAGGAGCTGACAATTTTTTCTGCTTAGGTCTTATTTTCAGGGAAATATGATGTATTCAAAGTAAGAAATATTTGGAGGAGGGTTAATGGTACTGTACTCTACTATAAACAATTAAATAATTTTTATATTCACCATATGTTTGATCACACATTGAATTTTCCATTTCTCATCCAAATTACACTTAGAGTACCTTTTCCCTGACCCTTCTTCTTTGATTAGCCATAAGGAAAAGGAATTGAGAATTATTTCTAAATGTAAAGTGTATCACTAGAGTCCATATTTTGATTATTCTACAGGAACAGTCTTGTAAGGATTTTGTTATACAGTCTAATGAAGCAACCAAACTGTCAAAATTTATGACCTTCCTATACTCTACCATTCTAACAAGATATAATTAATTTCAAACAAAAACTTCTCCACTTAGCTCTTGCATAGTCTTTTCTTTCTCTTTTTCACATACTTATTTCACAAATATTTGTTGAGCACTCATCACATATCAGGCACCATTTTAGGATTTGAGGATGTCACAGCAAACAAAACAGAGAATAATCCTCACTAGAATTTTATTCTAGTGGAAAGCAGATACAATAAATAAGTAAAATATGTAATATACCTGACAGTGATTATTCCTAAAGAGAGAAAAGACACAAAAATGTTAGGGGAGTCAAATTTTAGACTGAATAGTCAAAGAGTGCCTTTCCAACATTTAAGACAAACTATAGAAGAAATGAAAGAGCAAACCATGCAGATATTTGGAAAGGCATGCTAGGCAAAGCAAGCCACAAGGGCAAAGTTTCTGAGTTAGGAGTATGTCTGGCATGCTCAGGAAACAATCAGTAGGTCCCTGGGATAAGATTAGAGAAAGACAAGGAACGTATGTGGGAGATAGGGACAGATAAGTAATTGTGGTTCCTGAAGACAAGACAAGACAAGACCACACAACTGAGGACTCAGGTTTTAAAGAATCAAATATAGGGATGTGCAAACCAATGAGATTTCCCATCGGAGTGTTAGCTGAAGGGTCTGTGCTCCCAGAAGCTAGAGCATTTGAGAAGGGAGCAGAGGGTGTCTGACCTAAAGGTCTGTAGATGACAACAGCCACGTGGTTGATGAGTGGTTTATTCTGTTAGCATCAGATTCCAACATGGCTGACTCCAGGGAGATGAGAGGAAAATGGTTTGGAAGTAGCAATGAAGACAGAGGACTATACGAGATGAGAAAGATGAAATACTATGTTTCCTTGAAAATACAGCCAAACCAGACCAACCTGACCCAGACCCCCCTGATGAATTCAGAGGTAGAGGGATATAAGACAGAAAGAAGGAGAGGTTTTCAGGAGAGGCGATGCCTTCACAGGAGAGCCAGAGTTCAGACTCAAATGGAAAACACAGAGAAGCAGATGTAAATGGAGCAAATTTTGTAGATGACTTTGACTTTGCATAGCACACAGCCCAGGAAAAGACAGTAGGTTTAGCATGGGAGACAGAGACAGAAAAGTCAGGTGCCCTCTTCCCCTATTTTCAGTTTAACTTGTCTTTTTCATTCATCCATCTTTTTCCCTCCTTTTTTCATCTTTTCCCTTTTTCTCTATCATATTATGCATTTATTCAACTGATTCTAAATTTTCCTGGTCCTCATGTCGCTGAGCCTTCTTTTTCTCTTACCTTTTAAACTTCTCATTAAATGTGGGTCATTTTATTTTTCCCCAGTTTTCTCTCTTTCACTACTGGATGTTTCATGCTAGTATTTAGGGATGATCCAAGTAGCTGATTTCAAAGCCTCTGGAATTAACCCAGAGGCCGTCTTGTTAGTTGCTCAGCAACCTTACATCCTTGGCAGATAAAAATGTCCCTTCCCTCACCTGGACTTTGACAGGTTCCATCCAGTATTCCAGCTTGTCAGCAGTGATGTTCTCTGGCAACATGACAGGATCATTAGGGGGGATTATACAAGACAGGGAACACATGGCACCTGAATGAACACAAATTCAAAGCAGAAATTGAGCTTCTCAGTTTGCAGTCTTTTTCTTCTTGTAATCAAAAGCTTTGATATTTGATATTTGAGAGAAATTGCTCTTTACCTAATGGTTCATCACAATGTGATAGTTGGAGACAGGCCTGATACTCATTTAATGTACATTTTTAGAGCTATTTTTACACTAACTGGTAAAGAACTGCTCTCACACGCTAATTCCCCTTACCCCAAGTGTCTCCTCCTCTGCCTGGTCTGGTATTCCTTTTCTCTAGCATTTCTGAGTCTCTGCTTGACCCAGTAATTCTGAGATTGATTTCTGGTCCAGAAGATTTTCTACACCCCATTTCAATACTCTAGCCACACTGTATCCTGATTGGCTGATGAATTTTAAGTATATTTAATGTCATTCCTGCTTGTGTGGTCTCCTGGAAGCTGACAGTTGTAGCACCTCCCACCTAAGAATTTGACTAGCTGGGGAAAAACACCTAAAAATCATGAAATTACTCCAGGGATATCCTGTCAGTTGCTACATTAAATATCATTGCTTTGGCAGCCAGGAAACCTGCTCTATTGAAGGAAGAAACAACTAAAAACCAGAAGCAGAGATTTGGGTCATTTGTTGGTCCCCAGAAGGCAAATATTGCTGCTTTCTTGAAGGGGTATCCAAGTGTCTTTTAAAATACTCTCAGGTTCTCTGTTTCTTCATCTATAAATCTGATGATCTTCAAGTTTGTTTTCAGCTTGCAATGTCTATGCTCTATTGTTTTTCAGTAACTTTTATAATTTTGAAATACTATGTTAACCTTTAAGGACTCTTAAGTGCTTGAGTTTATGACATTTTAATACAGAAATTAGAGATTTTTAGGATAAGAATATGTTTATTAAAGACCCACTCAAGAGGCATGTAAAGCTCCCTGATCATCCAGGCCTGGCTACAAGACCTCACAGTGCAAGTGTACCTTGAAGATGGTAAAGAAACATCACAGAAACTAATGAATATCTTTTATGAGCTTGGTTTATATGCAGTACTATTACACAGGTTAAATGCTTTATAAAATTGCTCATTTTCCACGTAATTCAGAATTTAGGAGTAATCTCACAAGTTTTCACACAAAATGCGACTCTTTTCTATGATGTTCAGGGACCACCAGGGAAATGTGTCACTATCACTGCTCTGTCTACAAAGATCATTAATTGTGTTCGCTTGAATTAGAAGCTGTTTACAGAAGTTGGGTCCCAGTCCTCTGTTGAGAATAAATGTCCGAAGATTAATACAAGGAAATGCAATCTCAAATCATCCCTTTTAAGAACTCTGCATTCTATTAACAACGGCTAAGAGAATGGAGAACTCTCCACTCAAGTTATGGCTACATTTCTTCTTACTTCTTGGAAAAAAAAAAAAAAAAACATTGCTACACTTCCATCCACTCTCAACTCTGCAACAAAGCAGCCAGTTTAATCAGCTATACCAACTTTATGCATGTGCGGAAGACTAAAAAGAACAAATTTGATCTGGACATGGTAGCACAAGCCAGCACTTGGGAAGGTGAGGCAGAGGGGCAGAGGGATCACCTCACATGTTCAGACTCAGCCTGAACTACACAGTGTGACCCTGTCAAAAAGAACACATTTATTACGAATTTTATTTTTACTGAAGTAGCAAAGAATTAACTTGTATTCCCACTTACTCCTCAAGGAGAATATTGTAACTGATTCAAGACCCAGTAAGCAACAATAAAAGGATGATCTAGGAACAGACACCAGATTCCTCCCCGTCCTTACCAATCCCATATCCCTGTTCACACTTGTACTCCAGGAAATTCAACTCTGAGGGGGGCGGAGGGCATTCGCCTCGCAGGTTCTCACACAGCTTGAACTCCGGAGTCCACAGTCCTTCTTTAGTGCAGACAATGGGAAGCTGGAATATCAAAGGTAAAGATGATCCCACTATTGTTCTGGCTAACTTCATTAAGCCTGGGGAAAAAGTGGTCTAATAAAGTGGCACCATACTTCAACTTTTAGAATCTGGGCTAAAAGATGTCATAATTAACTGTGTTGGAAATAATCAAAATTAAAAGAAAAGAGGCACACCAAGATGCATTCTGTTTCCAAGTAAAACATATCATAAACAAATTTGCCAGTGATAAAATTTATCAACGACATATTTCCTTTTAACTACTGACTATAACCCATGTAATCTGAGTTATTTTTGGAAACTCTCTCCATATGGTATTGTTTTACACTGATTCGTGTCTATTGTCATAAAATGCTGCTTGTTGCAAATATATGGGTTTTTTTCAAGATGAATTTTGTTCTGTGAAACTAATCTTTAATTTTCATTAAAAGTGTGTTTTTCGTCTTTGTCTTAGAATACCCACATCATATTTGCATTGGATCTATTCCCTTTCTCCGTATGTGTGCTGGCTTGTGTAACGCTTAGTTTCAGACCATCAATAACCACAAGTATAAAACTCTATCTAGAATATAAACCAGAACTAACAAAATCCAGGAAAACAAGATTTAGAAATGTAGATACTTCTTTCTTCATCTGCTCAAGTCCTTGATTCTTTAAATTAATCAGTGGAAACATAAGTGTTTGACCTTCTTGAGGTCTTATGACATTCTTCACATCTGTTCTGCAGTGCTTAAAGTGCTGGACACTAACTTAAAGATGTGGCAAAAGAGAAATCCAGGTCATTGATCAGTTCCTAGGAAGTCTGCTTGATTTCCTGTCTCTTGTTTATATGTGATGCTTGAAAAGATTCTAAAACAAAATTGATTTTAGTCACACAACCACTTAAGACTACATTTTTCATTTGAGACCTCCTGTGCTAAAATCTTAGAGAAAATAACAGTCAAACAGCGCTTTGAGCTTTGTGAGGAATTTGTGTTTCTGTTCATAAAAAGAAACACACACATAGACACAAAGATTCCAGAATTATTTGGAATGTACCCAGGTACTCTACATATCAGATTCTTCTTACCTGTGGGGAAATTCCGAATTTGGGAGAGAATATTCCAAAAGCCCAGTATCTTTTGAATTTGTCTATTGAATAATACTGTATTAACACCTCAGGTTAGAATTCCAACTTAGTAAGGCCCTCCTCCCTGATGGAATTCTTTTCAATACTTTTGACTTAACATTCTTGGCAAGGCAATCATGATTAGAATACAGTCTGACCCCAAATAAAGTTCAAAGAGTATTCCTTACCCTTTCACTTTCCTGGTTACATTTAAGCACACACTGGCTGTCCAGATTGAAGCCATTGGTACACTCATACATGCCTTCAAAAACAGGAGAAGGAGGCTCACACACCACTGGCATACAGCTGCCTTGCTCCCAGATTCCATCTTCCAAGCACTGGAGCTTCAGGAACTTGCTGATAAGACATGAAACAAAATTGCCCATCAGACTCAAGAAGGTCGTGGGACAGGCCTGGATCTTTAGCAATACATGATGAAGAGCAGCAACCAGGCAGGGGAAGATGGTTCTTGTTAGCCAGTTGCATGAGCATCCTAGTTTAATCTCAAAAGTCAAGAAATAAAAATGATAATGTTCATTTATCGGCAGTAATAGTAGGTATTGTATAGCAATATTTGATGTATGACTCTCAAGAGAGTTTGACAAATAGTGCAGCATCTAGAATGCTTAGAGTTGGGTTTTCTTTGAGATTTGCATCTTGTAGAAATTTCACATCAAAGTACACTGGAAAATGCTGGTATTACAGAATACAGAAAAGATTGTCATACACACAGAGGGCCAACCAAATGTGATTTAAGGATCATCAGTGTTGATATGGTGATATAATTAATGACGTCATTAATAATTCTTGGTTTTTTGAAGACAAGACAAAGTGTGGTAATATGCACACTTTAAAGAGACTCAACCTAACATTCAGAAGGAAACTAACCTCCTTTAAATTGTTACAGCTGTTTTGTTTCTAAATCCATTTTGCCTTGGAAAAAGTTCATACCTTTCACCAGATTCATGAAGAAGATTATGACTCATTGCTGTCCTGGAAAAATTGACCTTCCCATGCACAGTTATGACCTACAACCAAAAAGCCTGGCTCAACGTAGATAGGAGTTAAAAGAAGTAGGTTTTTTGTTACTGCAAATTCTGTTCCATTCCCTTTCTGACTCACTGCAGTCTGAAGGTATCCAGTTCTTACTCAGAACACACTTAGCTATAAAAAAAGTTGTGATTCTAAAATATAAACAGCCTTTGGCCATTGGCTGTCTCAGTCTACACAGTGGATTTCTACTAGCACCTCTAATGTCTTGATGCCATTTATGAATTTCAATATGCCCACTATCCTATACATGTTTTCAATTGACAGTGGTACAAATGGTTCCCATGTGCCTGTCCAGTCTTCTAATCTTATTTTAGATTTACTCTCAACACATTGTCATATAAATATGTCTGTGTCTGGCTTTCCTATAGATAGGAAGTTTCCAGAAGACATAGTCTATGCCTCGTTCTTGTTTTAAATTCTCAGATATTAATTTAATATTTGGTTTATATTAGGTATTAAATAAAGAATTGTGGAATTCAACAGCATCAAGTTGACTTTGTGTAACAAACTGAATCAACATAACACTAATAAAATATTTTATCTCCATTTTATTGGTAAATGCACTGAGAGATGCTAAGATCTCTTTCTAATATCTCACATTCCAGAATACACTTGATTTCAAATAATTATAATGGCAATATAACAGTTTAACGTATCTGCCTTATGTCCAATTAGAAATAAGTGAAATGTTTTATTATTTTTAAATTATGTAGAATCATATCTTAATTTTCAGAAATATTTTAGGATAGAAATATGATTTATGACAGGGATTCTTTAATACTATGTCCACACATCTACTATTTGTTATAAATATCATTTTAAGTTATATTTCAGATATTTGGGAATATATATACATACATATGTATATATATGCTTGTTACTTATAACAACAAATAACTATAGTACCATTATCTCCAATTTAGCAAAGGAAACAGCCTGAAAGGAATATAAAGCTTGTTCAAAGACCCAGGGTGAAACCAGAGGCAGGCTGACAAAGCTTATGGTCTTTTACTATTACTATGACTTTTCTGTTCTGCTCTGTAGTTCACTGCTTATTAGCAGCATCCAGTCCACAGAATATTCCAAGTTCTCTTTGTCCTGATGCTGCATCCTTAAGTGTATCAAAAAACTCATCTAAAAATGTTTGAACTGAATAATAAATCACACATGTAAAATATCTCAATATTAATATGCAGCTTGAGGAATTTTTGCATGTAACTACAGCTGGGTAATCTTTGCTTAAATCTAGATTTTATAGAACATTTTCAGTCCCTCAGAATTTCCCTTTGTGTTTCTTCCCAGTAAACTTTACCAACTCCTGCAACAGACAGGATTCTGCAATATACACTTTCACAGGGTAGGTTAGTTTGGCTTGTTCTTGATTTTTTTTATTGAGATATCCCACTATGAATTCTTTAGTATTTGTGTTTTTCCCCGCAAAGAAAATGCCATTCAGAAAATGTCTTCCCAACTCTATTTTAGGTGAAGGGTTTACAATTCTTTTTACTGAAAATGAGGTTCCCATTTGTACCCCTCATGAACTGGATGTTTTGGTTTACCTTCTCAACACAGAGTTTAAATTCTTGCCAGGGACTCTCTCCTTTCTGCCACCTCCCACAGAGGCAACTGTTTCCCTGCCTCTGCTGAATTGACAGACCCCAGCTGGAAAGAGCCAGCAATACCACTGACACCAGGGAAGAAGCAAGGCTGTAAAAACCTTGCATGTCAGCATGGTTATAAAGGAAAACCCTTGCTTGGCCAGCATGATAATATTTTTACTTCATGTGGTATTTTTCTCTGAATGGGTTGGAATACTTCAGCCATGGAAATAGTCCTCCTGTTCCTTGCCCAGAGTGAGGAACCATTCAAAAATGCCAGTTTCACGTATCTCCTTGCCAGTTTAATAACCTCAGGGGTAAGGGTAACTTGGATAGTGAAGTAGGAGTTTGGGTTTTTTGGGTGGTACCCAGATAAAGCAACAGGCCTGTACTGGAAACCACCATCAATGCAGGGAGGGAGACTGCTATAGGAAGCAAGAAAAGAGTGCATTTACATTGGGTCCTTGGACTTGGGAGTAGCGTTTAGGGTTAGCTCAGAGGGCAGGAGTGCGAAGATGCTGAGAGAATGTTCTGATGATCTAGGAGGTCCAGTTTCCTCTAGGAAGGAGTTTCTATGCCCCTCACAACTTCATACATTCACCTCCTTTGCAGTTTTTCTCTTGTAAAGAAAATGGTCCTGTACAGTCATCTCCCCAGAGGCCTTCCACAGCCTTTGTGTCTCAATACATTAGACCTGCTCTTTAAATTCTGCCTTCAGACCTTGCCCAAAGCACCTAATGAGTTCCTCCTTGCTCATTACCTGATAATGAGCAATGTTTCATTCTGCTTGATGTCCACACCTATCTAATCTTGTGCAAGTCTTGAGATCTATGGTATGGTGCTTGACACTTCAGTCTAGTGGGCTCACTTTTGCCATTTTGTTTCAAAAGACACCTCGATGATGTTAAGAAACTGGAGTGCCCTGGACGGTTTCCAGTTCCAGGAAATTTAGTTTGCTCGTAAGGCTATCTCAGGGAACTGAAGCTTAAGTCATACATTTCTTCCTGTTTAAGTTTCAGCTCCTTAGTGTTAAGGACTGAATGGCCTCCACCACCACCCCAGACACACACTCTGCCCAACACCTCACGAAATCTTAACCAATCACGTGACAGGTGGAGGCTGAGACTTTGGGAGGTAATCAAGTCAAGAGGGTAGAGCCTTCATCATGTGACTAGTGTCCTTTAGAAAAAGAGACATTGAACTTGCTTTCTCTGCCCTTTTCCATATGAAGATACAGCAAAAAGATAGCCAGTTGCAAAGCAAGAAGTGTTCTCAGATAAAGAATCTGCCAGATCACTGATCATGATTTTTCAGTCTCTAGGTATTTGAAAAATAAATTCTTGTTGAAGCCACCTCATATGTGGTACTCTGTTACAGAAGTTTATACTAACCAAGATACAAGGATGACAAGGTTTGCATCTCAAATGCAGCCTCTGTGTCTCCTGTAGTGTGGTGATATTGAGGTCCACTTCTGACTCTTTTAAGATCATTGATGAAAAATGGGTTTATGGTCCAACTCTTTCACATAACATGTGTGGATTAAAAAATAAGAGACTCTGACATTATGGAGTGAATTCAGCTTCACATTTCAAAGAATGATAGCATTGGGTACCAGATCAATGTACACAGACAGGCCCCTACCAAGAGAGACATCCAAAACCTTTTTTGATAACCTGTTCCAAATATCTGTCACATAACACATTCTTCATTCCAGTGGAGGAAAGAAAGTTACAATATCTCATTTTATAGCCGATAATTAACATTAGTTACCAAATCCCCTGAGTTTCCCAAGCTCATATAGCAAACACATCATTGGTAAAACAAAGAATAGATTTCAAGGTTTTCATAAAACAAAACATCTGAACAATTAAACCAATAGTTTCAAAACAAAATTTGTAAGATGAATCCTATCAGAATCCTATGGAGATATTTTAGAAATCTGGGTGGCAAATCCTACTGAACCAAATCTTTTAGGATTTGCCTAGGACTCTGTACTTTTACACTTTTCAGTAGTTATTAGATGGAGTCACAGTGATAAACTGTGAAAGTCTTTGCTCTTTCCCATGCTAGTAAAGATGACCAGAGTGTAAGATCCATTACTTAGGAGGTCTGTAGCTGTCCTGTTTGGGCTTTGCTAAGCCTTTTCACTAGGATTGTTAGTTAGATGATCTTGCTCTGGGATTTTTTTATTCTGTAAATGGTAGCATGAAGAGTTGAGGTAAGGGTAGAGTTTTTATTTGTCTTCCCTTTAGCTTCTCCAGACAAATCACCACAGTTTCCAATTTCTAAAACTTTGAGGTATCCACCTAGAGCTGAAATTCCAGCTGTGCTTTTCTGCATCTTACATCATTGCCAGAAATAAAGATCTTGTAATCAAAACTTGGCTGCAAGTTTGACTGATGTTGCTTGAGGCGCACATGAGTCCCCCTCATCCTTCTATCACCACGCAAGAGTTTTCAAAAGTAATATTTATGTTCCATTGGGGAGAATAAAAATGTGACTTGTAGAGTCCAAGAGAATTATCATGTCTTTTCCAATCAAGAGCATTGGATGTCTCGAGTGTGTAGCCCCTCATGAATAATAAGAACAAAGGAAAAACTGATAACTGAACTGCTAGTTATTGTGCAGAAGAATGTGTGTCTATGAAATGTTATCCTCAAACTCACCCCTGTGTGATAGGAGCATTACTTATTGTCTGAGTTCTTG